GGAATGCTATCTGCAGTGTAAGATACTCTAGGGTGGCATTCTCTGGGTGAAAATTAAAAGCATACTTGTAAGGTGATTAGCAGAATTTGTCAAGTAAACAAGCCTGTCTACATTCCTACAATATTTCTTAATAAATATGCTAGATCAAATCTAAAGCATTTCCATGGGACATAAGGAATATGCATTTTTAAAATACAGGAAACCAAGAAAATGGCTTACTATTTAAAAGCATCGATGAAGTCACATAAATAGGCATGATCAAATTCATCTGTAACAGAGACATATTGGGGACCCTTAAGGTAAAAAGCAAGACACTAGGAAGTTAGGGAGAAGTGAATGCTCTATAGCATGAAAGTTCTTTAAGTCCTTGTATACTTGCTTTTATTTACAGCATTGATGTTGCCCTTTCCAATTCTACCTTAACTAAAATATAAAAACTTTCTCCTTCATATGATTATCCAGTCGCTTAAAAACATATGGAAGGTTATATCACTAACTATGCCCTTCTCATATGCAGAAATGTATTTATGTTAAGATACAAGAACATTAAAGAAATGCAGTGATAATAGTGACACACAGGGGATTGCTTCCCCCTAAAGAACATTAGCAATTATTGCAACTAGCAGATTCTAAAACAGAACTATTATCTTTATATCCTTATATCCTCTATTATGCTTAGTATTCGAACCCATTATGCTTTTTTAAAGTGATAAATGAGAGTAGCTTTTTTGGTCAACTGACCCATTTTAAGTGGTAGCATCAAGTTTGTGAACATTTGTTTGTGTACTCTTGTTATCCCAAACAGAAACACCTAAGTACTCAGGAGCATTTATAAAGAAAAGCAATCAGCTTAAAACACTCTCACACACAAAGCCCTTAGTTACCATTCTTTAAATGTTATTCAAAAGCAACTGTTTTTTTAGTTGCTCAAGACAACTATAGTCCCATCTAAGTACTGCTGAAAAAACTGGGTACTGAGTGGAAGTTAGCAAGCAAACCTCTTGTCTGTGTTGCTTACCCACTGAACAATATTACCTACCAGCTAACTGTCTGTAACCAATACTAGAAAGTGACTATAAAGATTTATAACAAGGGTGTGACAAAAATGCACTGTTAAATTCATATGGCTTTCGGGAACTTTAATAATAATAATTTCATATATCTCTAAGGCATAGTATGTGATGGTAGGCACTTAGACACACATCTTGTCTCTTCATTGCAAAATGTAACTGTTGTATTTTTTAATGATTATTTTGAACACAGAGAGGTAAAATGCAGGGTCAGAAGTCACAAGGCTAGTAACTGACAGAGCCTGCAGTGCATCTCAGGCCCTCTGACTCAGCCCCGAATCCTACAATGCCTGGATGTCTCAGAGAGCTGAACTCCTTCCTCTTAGAGATTCCTGATATAACTAATGGAAATAGGACTGGAATTTAATAAGAAAAATGCTGACATGGCCTTATCTATAGCTGCCCAAATGGTGCCATTATAATTATTCTTTTTAAGTTGAGCATTACCAGAAAACTTGCTACTTTTAAGTCTTATTAATCAACACTTGGGTGCTTTGGTTGCCACAGATTATAGAGTAGTCTGCTTTATAAAAACACAAGATTTGCCAAACATCAAAGATTATATCACTGTAAGACAAAGTATATCCTAAACACTTCAGTGTATGACAGATTAAAATATTCTGAAATATAAATCTTAAATTAATCCTAAAAGTTCAGTTGTTCTTAAAAATATTTTTATCTATTTGTCATTTTTAACAATGACATGATTTGTTCATATATGTTGCAAACATAATAATCAAAATTCCTTTTAAATGTTTCTCTAGTTTTAGGAATACTGTGATTACTTGTGAGCTAAATCTGATTTTCTTAAAGCAACTGGTCAGGAAACAAAATTAGTACTTTCTATATTTATAAATGGAATTCCTTCTATTTTCCAAAATATTTTCTAATCTAACTACATAACTTGGGCTGACAAAACGGCAATAAACTAGAGAAATATATATTATGATTAAATTATTCAATGCCTTCATGTTTAAATGCTTTCCTATTAAGCAAAGCTTTTTATTATTGATTTGTAGGGTACCTAAGAAAAATGCCATAACCTGCCTCCGTTACATAATCCTCTCCAAAAGAAAGTAACAGGTGATAAAGTGTCACTAAAATGATTGAAACTATCTTTTCTAATGTGAATGTATGCAGTCTTCAATTAAAAGGATAGCAGTGACATGTGTATGTATGTTTCACGGTCAGTGTCATTTTTTAGAGACTTCCTTTTCCTTTCTAGTATTATTTCCATCCACTACTGAGCTTATAAAAACCTCTAGAATATGCCATTTCCGTAACATACATGTGGTTTATGTCAGTAAACAACTGAGGAAGTCATTTATAAAATATTAAAATAAGGAGTGCAGGAAAAATCATTGCAGACTATCCTGCACACAGTTGAAGACTAACAGCATGGAAGCAGATGTAGTGTTACCCTGACCCCTGAAGGAAGGAGTCAGGAGTTAACTTCACATCCAATTTCCTACACAATATGAACACCAAACCTCCAAATCCACTGGCACAACATGTCAGTGTTTGGGGCATGTCCTGCAGAAATAAGAAAGTCATCTCAAATACTGAAGCTCAAAAATTTTATTCTGCAATTTCACCATTTTGATTTGGGGTGAGCAGATCTCTACAAAGTTACTTGGTGGATATCTAGCTCCTGCACCTGATTCCATAGGAAAAACTGAAAAAAGCATCTCATCTCTATGATAAAAAAGTCTTTTTGGCTTTTTTGTAAAATAAATGTAAAGGGAAATAGGAAATCGCACAAATAGGTGAGAAGAGAAAATGATTTAATTCAACAGGGTTAGGATTTTAGCAGGAGTTTCATTATGAGGGAATATATAATCTATTGAGGGAAAAACATCCTAACCAGTAGAAGGCCAAAAGGAGCTGATGTGTATCTTTTTTTAAAGAAAATCACAGCTCCAAATAAAACATCATGGAAAATGACATTTTATTATGCAGTATTCCTTTCTCTGTACAGTGATCACAGTACATTTATCTCATCTCATGGTAAAAGTCACAGGCAGCTGCAACATGTCCTTTAAGCCATTCGATAAGTAAAACTTGAAAGTGGATTGCTCTTTATCTCTGGAACTAGTAATAATGAATTAATTGCTACTTATTTTTTAAATTTAACAGGATATCATTACATTTGAAGGTTTTTACTTCTATTTTCTCAGAGGGTTAAAATGGCCCAGAAACGGGTTGTCAAGGCAAAGATAAAGGTACCGAACATTCATTTCTGACACACTGTGGAGGCAATCATTTGTACTGAGGGAACCACCAGACTGAAATCTGCATCAGGCTCTAGCGGGCAAAATGCAAGCGAGGACCCCCAATAGCCATTCCATTCAGGCTTCATTTCAATAGGTTAAACTTTCTTCTCAGTTGGGGTCACGTATTTCGATCAGAAGGTACAGAACTATGACCTTGGCTGGGCTCGTCAGTCCGGATCACTCAATGGGGCACTTGTGAAACATTGCGGACTCTCATTTTGACTCTCCACGGGTGTGGCTAAAATTGCTCCTGTCCAGCCATCAAGCTTCCATGATCCGCTGTCCCTCAGAAACTCACTGTGAGAAAACTCACGCTAAATTCACTACAGACATCAGGGTTTGCAGGAGCGTTGGAGCTAATCTCGGTTGGCTCTCCTCCTCTGTTAGCTGCTACAAGCCCTCAAAAGTTAACAGGGTGATGGAGACTCCCTCTATACAATCATTTCATCTCACTATCGTTGACTGAAGCTCACTGATGTAATGAAGTTACATAATCACCGATTATGCACGACTTCCATCCATCTTCCTACATATCCACATATCTTCTCCCCTCCCCTTCAGATCAGTCTACCCGGGGAGATTTATAACACATGTAAATGCTCCATTCTCTCATCATAGGTAGTGAATATGGGACTTTAGCATTGCAGTACAGTGCACTGAACCACGTCATCAATATTGATTTTTTTTATCCCATTTCCTAGGCAGAATATGTTTAAGCATCCTTCATGCTCTAGTCTCTAACTTTTTACTGAAAGGGTAAAATAGATGTGGCAGACAGGACACATCCTCAACTTAAGGTTAAGGGAAGTGTGTAATTGCCTGCATTTCCAAAGCTGGCTACATTGCAATATAGGATGCTTTCTGGTTCCAGACCTTCGACTCCCCTGCACGTGGGTCGCAGCTTCAGCTATTTAGGGTATTTGATAAATAATTACATTATGGGACAATTGAACTTGAGAAAGAAAGCATTATGGTGACATTTGAAATAATATTGCACTATTCTTTTCTTTTTTGGTCATCATTTTCAGCTTTTTCTTTTCTTTTTCATTCTGAATGAGAATCCAGTGGATAAAAAAGTAGCCTAGGGTACTTAATAATCTCCAATAATCACAACCTAGGGAACAATTAACAATGATTATCACCTTAAAGTTTAAGAACTTGACAAGTGGGATGTCCCTGGTCCCATTGCGGCTGTGAAATGCAGCAGAATGCTGCACTGAGTTGAAAACATATTTCTTTTAATGAATAAAGAGTAGCTCATTTCATTTTAAATAGGGCTCTTCAGTAAGTGTTCCTTACCCTGCTGCTACCTCTTCCAGAACACAGGAGCCACAAATATTGCATCCAAACAAAAGAGTGACTACCCAGAATTAATTCAAGACACTCTTCCATATCAAAATAATTGGAGGTGGGGAGTGATGCTTTGATTTATTTTTAATTACACTCAGAATACAGACCCACATACACACACACGCACACACACATGCACAAGCACACACACCAACACACCCAACTGCAGTTATTCCATTCAGTGCCAATAACGGCCACATCACAGCCATCAGTGCGATGCAGCAATCATCCAAGTCACCCATTCCCATTGCAAACACCCAAGTTTGCTCACGCCACTGATGGATTTGCATATATAAAATGACCTTACCTACAACAGTCTTCCAAATTTTTCTCCTCTGGATATCAGTCGGTAAGGTAATTGCTGGTCATCACAATGCGTATTCAGAAAAATCCACGTTTTACTCCTGTGTTCTTTTTCTTGTTTTGCTAGTAATTAATATCGTGAACAAGATGCCCATTCACAAATGCCAAGTTCACCATAAAAGCAGATAATTCCATACAGCTCTTCCCTACAAGACTGCCTCCAGTTAGTTCTCAAAGTGCCCGATTGTTTGGTGAAGATACAATCCAGGTGCAAGAGCAGGGGGGGGAAAAAAGGAAAACTAGGAGAAAAAAAAGAAGAGGCAGATAGAAAAGGAGAGACGGAGAGAGGAGAGAGCAGAAAAAGAGGGAAGAAATGTTTTTAAAAAAGAAGGAAGGAAGGAAAAGGCCAGTAAGTAAGGAAGTCTGTGAGCTCTATGACAGGAACCAGAGTCTCGCTTGCAAATATTTCGTATACATGTAGCCTTTCAGATCTTCTTGGTCCCCAAGTACAATTTCCAGATCCGGGATGCAGCCATAAGAAAGAATCCTATGTATATTTCACAAGTATCCCGCAATAACAGATCCAACGGGGTTTTCCTTGTACAGTACTGCTATGTGAAAGCACACAACCCCTGCTGTTTGGGAAGGTGTCTCCTGGGTCCTAGCTCTCTTCGGCAGCCCCCAAAAAAATGATTTTTAAAAAAGAGCGGAGGGGGGGGAAGCAGCTTTGCCTTTGCCTTGAATGATGCTAATCCTGAGCGAAACCGACAGGCAGACCACGAACACCACAAGATCTTGATAAATAGCCACAATCCATTCAGAATATCCCAGGCAAGAAGGAGCGAAAGCCAGAAAGAGAAACTGCAATGCATAAATGATTCCAGTGTTTCTACAAGATCGGTTCAGTTGATTGAATGCATTCTCTGGTTTGCTGCAAGTCATAAAGAGGATAGTGTTACTGCCACCCAATGGATATTTTAGTACTAGCCAATCCACAGAATGCCATCGCGTTTCGAGTTTTAGTTTTCAGAAGATTGAAGAGGAAGGAGAGAGAGTAGCCTGGGAAGCTTTTGGAAAGGACCCTGAGAGGGCTCCAATGACGAGAGTCTGTCCTTCCTGGCATACGGATCGGCAGATGTGGACTTCCCAGTCCCGTGTTAGCCACCTCAAAATTACGGTTCCATTTGTCTAGGAAGCAGAAAGGTACAGAGAGCGATGCCTAAACTGACACGCTCATAATAACCTCCTTTTCTTCTCTCTTTAGAGCAGACTTGTTATTGCGTGCGATCTCCATCTCTCTCTCTTTCTCTCTCTCTCTCTCTCTCTCTCTCTCTCTCTCTCTCTCTCT